GCACTTATCAACTCCCCCACACTTAAACATTTGCTTGTCCTCAAGCAAAGACAAGACAAATTACCATCCAAGCAATGAAATTGATCACACTCCCAACTTGCACAACTTATCAATCCACAAACCGACTTGCTATAACACAACTTCTTTCAAGAATCATTTTAGCATCCCACACAAGTTCCATTCTCAAGCCAATAACCAAGCACCAAAATTATTAAAGTGTGTGAGGATCAAGTGTGCACAATACTAAGTTGAGATTATGCAAAACTTGGCTTTGAATGAGATTCCATAGGCTTGCCCTTCATACTCCCACTAGTTCAACTCCAAGATTGCATGCTAAGATCAAATAGGTCTTTATTAGGCTTGTAATGGGGCTAAGGGTGAATGGCTAACAAAGAAGGGGTATGGAAATAAACAAAGGAGAGAACTTCACATTTATTCACAATTGAGGCTAGAAGAGATATGACATTTATAAACAAAGGAGCAATTTACAATGGAACATAAAGCAACACTCTAAAGTAGTGGGGGTTGAGTACAACTTTCAACACAAACTAGAATCAATCTTCAAACTTTTATTCTTCTTCTTTTCTTTTCATTTTTCTCATTTCATCTCTTTTTCAAGACTTTTTTCTCATCATTATTTTTTTTTCTTTTCTTTTCTTTCATTGCAAAACAATAAACAAACTTATTCCATGAACCAATACCCCCACACTTAGACAAAATTATCAAGAGGATTGCTAACAAAACAAGCTCCAATAAAGATCTCTCAAAGAAAAAGAATAAATGCTCTATTCTCTCAAGGGTGGAGGGAAACATTTTGGATAGGGGTTAAGGGTTAAATGAAGAGGGTTAACACAAGGAAAAACAATCACAATGAAGGGACAAGTGCTTAGCACTTATTGAACAAACACAAAAGGCTCAACGGGGACAACTAGTGGTAAACACATGTGTAAAGGGTAGGCTTGAAAGGCTCGGGCTAAACAAAAATGGCCTAAATCATTTCTAAACATGCAAATTTTAGACTTCACTTGGAGAGTAATGAGGCAAGTTCTAGCAAAACAACCATGACCGGAATCTCACATAAGCCTTCACTAGCAAAGCATAACACACAAGATCAAGAATTTATTCATTTATTAAGTGGTTAACAAGGCAATTGGCAAGAGAATAGATCAATCATGTGTTATACCTCAAATCATCAATCACAAATTGCATCGCAACAAGCACCACCAAATCAAACCACAAACCAACAAAGAGGGAGTGATCACAACTTCAAGCAAAGATGAGAAATTTACCCAACATTATGCACAATGACTCATCCAAGCAAGGTTTCAAAAAGTTTCAAAATTTCAAAATTTTCCAATATTTTGTCCACCCCCCACACTTAGAAATTACATCGTCCTCGATGTAAAAGAAAATAAAGCACAAGGGAGAAATGGTAGCACAATAAGCACAAGTGAGAGCATGATATATCAAAAATAAAAGTGTAAAGAAAAATAGAGAAGAAAGTAAAGTGCTATAAAATGAAAGATAACATGGGGTGCCTCCCATGAAGCGCTACGTTTAACGTCGCTAGCTCGACTTGACCTTTGGTGTTCAAGTATATGAGGGATAGAAGAGATCCCAAACCACATTAGCCTCCTTTTCTTTGAATTTCGGCTCATTGAAGAGCTTCAACCTTTGCCCATTCACCATAAAAGGATCTCCCGACTTAGCCACAATTGAAACGGCTCCCGATGGGTAATGTTCCACTACTCGGAAAGGGCCCGACCACCTCGACTTGAGTTTACCGGGAAACAACTTGAGTCTTGAATTATATAGTAACACTTGGTCACCCGGTTCAAAGTTCCTCCTCAAAATTCTCTTATCATGAAAATACTTGGTCCTTTCCTTGTAGATCCTTGCATTCTCATAAGGATCCATCCGGAACTCCTCAAGCTCATTCAAGTGTAACAACCTCTTCTCTCTTGCCGAGTCCTCATCCAAATTCAACCTTGAAACTGCCCAATATGCCTTGTGTTCATACTCAACCAGCAAATGACATGACTTCCCGAACACAAGTTTAAACGGGGAAACACCAATAGGAGTTTTGAATGCGGTCCTTAGGGCCCATAATGCATCATCTAGCTTCAAAGACCAAGCCTTTCTTGTTGGACTCACCACCTTTTCAAGAATAGATTTGATTTCCCTATTGGCCAACTCTACTTGCCCACAAGTTTGTGAATGGTAGGGTGTAGAGAGCCGGTGATGAATACCATACTTGAGAAGAAGTTTCTCCAAAAGCTTGTTGCAAAAATGTGTGCCATTGTCGGTTATGAAAGCTCTTGGCATGCCAAACCGGGAGAATATATTCTTCTTGACAAACTTTATCACGATCTTTGAGTCATTCCTCGGAGTTGCAATTGCTTCTACCCACTTTGACACATAATCCACCGCTACAAGGATATACTCATTCCCAAAAGAAGGAGGAAATGGGCCCATGAAGTCCATCCCCCACACATCAAACAACTCCACTTCAAGTATACCCTTTTGAGGCATCTCATGTCTTCTTCCAATGTTGCCGGTCCTTTGGCAATTGTCACACTTACGCACAAATTCTCTAGCGGTAGCAAACAAAGTAGGCCAAAATAAACCGGATTGTAGCACTTTAAGAACCGTGCGGTCGGCACTCATGTGTCCTCCATATGGTGAAGAGTGGCAATGGCTCAAAACACTTAAAAATTCCTCCTCCGGTATGCACCTTCTCACAATTCCATCGGCACATCTCTTAAACAATAGGGGCTCATCCCAAAAGTAATCTCTCACATCATGCAAAAATCTCTTTTTCTTGTTGAAATTGAAATCCTTTGGGATGTACCCGCTCACAAGGTAATTCACAATGTCCGCGAACCAAGGCACATAATTTCTTCCCAATTCACTCAAAATGAAAAGTGTTTCTCCCATGAATGAGTCATCAATGGGCAACTCATTTTCCTTGTGACCTTCAAGTCTTGAAAGGTGGTCCGCCACAACTTTCTCGGAGCCTTTTTTGTCTCTTATTTCCAAATCAAATTCTTGATGAAGAAGAACCCAACGGATCAACCTTGGCTTGGCATCTTTCTTTTGGAACAAGTACTTCAAAGCCGCATGATCGGTGTGAACTATCACCTTGCTTCCCATGAGATAAGACCGGAATTTGTCCATGGCAAACACCACCGCTAGAAGCTCCTTCTCGGTTGTTGCATAAATCACTTGGGCTTCATCAAGCGTATGACTTGCATAGTGGATCACATGGTAGCTTCGGTTCCTCTTTTGGCACAACACCGCCCCAACTGCATAGTCGCTTGCATCACACATTAACTCAAACGGAAGACTCCAATCGGGGGGTTGAATGATGGGAGCATGGCATAGGGCCTCCTTCAACTTGTCAAATGCTACAAGGCAAGACTCATCAAAATGAAAATCAACATCTTTGGCAAGCAAATGAGTAAGGGGCTTTGCAAGCTTGGAAAAGTCTTTTATGAATCTTCTATAGAACCCGGCATGCCCAAGAAAACTTCTCACTCCCTTAACGGTGGTCGGCGGTGGCAATTTTGATATGACTTCTATCTTTGCCGGGTCCACCTCAATTCCTCTTGCCGAGACCTTGTGCCCAAGAACTATTCCTTCGGTTGCCATGAAATGGCACTTCTCCCAATTTAGCACGAGATTCACCTCTTGGCACCTACACAAAACTTTGTCAAGATTGATTAAACATTCATCAAATGACTTCCCATAAACGGAGAAGTCATCCATGAACACCTCCATGATCTCCTCCACCAACTCGGAGAAAATAGCCATCATGCATCTTTGGAAAGTGGCCGGCGCGTTACACAAACCAAATGACATCCTTTTAAAGGCAAAGGTTCCATATTGGCATGTGAACGTGGTCATCTCTTGATCCTCGGGGTGGATAGAAATCTGAAAATATCCTGAAAATCCATCTAAGAAGCAAAAATATTCGTTTTTGGACATTCTTTCAAGCAATTGGTCAATAAATGGGAGGGGGTAGTGATCCTTCCTAGTAGACTTGTTCAATTTTCTATAATCAATGCACATTCGGTGCCCGGTAACAAGTCTAGTAGGAATCAACTCATTATTCTCATTTTCAATGACCGTTATACCGCCTTTTTTCGGAACAACATGTATGGGACTAACCCACTTGCTATCTGAAATAGGGTATATAATGCCGGCCTCAAGCAACTTTAGAATCTCTTTCTTTACCACATCTTTCAAGTTAGGATTCAACCTCCTAAGGGGCTCCACAATGGGTTTGGCATTGTCCTCTAAATAGATTCTATGCATGCAATACTTAGGATCAATTCCAATCAAATCCCCAATTGTGTACCCAATTACACTCCTATGTTTTCTAAGCACATTAAGCAATTTATCAATTTCATCATTGTGCAAAGAAGAGTTAATAATCACCGGGTAAGTAGAGTTAGAGCCAAGAAAAGCATACCGGAGATTTGGAGGTAAAGGTTTTAATTCTACCTTTGGGGCATGCTCCTCTCCAAGGGGTTCAAGAATGGCAAGAGCTCCCGTCATGTTTTCAAAGTTGCTTCTCCACTCTTGCATGCCAAGGTCTACCTTGATTTGGGTACACTCTCCCAACTTTTCAAAGAAATTTCCCACAAGAGAGCCTCCTTGGTTATCTCCCCCAATCCCAAGAACCTCTCCAACACATTCTTCTATGGCTTCCACCATGTTGCACTCATCAATGTAAGAAGGTTGGTGCTTGGCCATCTTGAAGATGTCAAACTCAATTTTATGGCCGGCTACCTCCATCACAAGCTTCCCTCTTTTGACATCTATGATTGCCCCGGCGGTGGCTAGAAAAGGCCTACCAAGGATTATTGGAACCTTGGTATCCTCCTCTATGTCAAGAATCACGAAATCTCCCGGAATGTAATATTGATCAATCATGACCGGGATATCTTCAAGTACTCCCACCGGGCGCTTGATGGAACGGTCCGCCATTTGGAGTGTCATGGTAGTGTGGGCTTGGGCTCTCCAAGGTTGAGCCTCTTGCATAGAGAATAGGGCATAAGGCTTACACTAGCCCCAAGATCACATAAAGCACGGCTCACAACAAATCCTCCAACAATGCAAGGGATAGAAAAACTTCCCGGATCCTTCAACTTAGGAGGCAGATTCTTTTGGAGAACGGCACATGTCAAAGCTCCCTCACTAAGGTCCACCACCGCACTCTTCTCCAATCTCTTCTTGTTACTCAAAATATCCTTCAAGAATTTTTTGTATGAAGGTATTTGAGTAATGGCCTCCACAAAGGGCATAGAAATCTCCAACTTATCAAGCATTGTTTTAAACTTGTTTTCTCTCTCGGTTTCTTTTGTTTTCCACAACCTTTGTGGAAATGGCAACAAGTTGCAAGGAATCACCGAGTCATCTATTTGCTTGCCCTTGTTCACATTCTTCTTACTTGAGTTGTTTCCTTCTTGAATTGGCTCCTTCCCTTTTGACTTGTTTCTTTGAATTAGAGGCTCATTATCATTTTCACTTTCAAGATTTTTTTCAATTTCCTCTTCATTTGGCCTTTCCTCATCTTCATCTTTCTCAACATCTTCTTCAATTGTAAGATCATTAGAAGGAAATGGTGGATCTTTCAAAGATTTTCCACTTCTAGTGGTGATGGCGTTGACATGATTTCTAGGATTTTCGGTGTTAGCCGGAAGTCTACCACTAGAAGATGAGGCTAGTGTAGACCCTTGAGTGCCTCCTCCTTGATTTTGGGCTTGTAGATTCTCCACTTGAGATTGCAACTTGCTAATTTGTGACATTTGAGACATCATCATGTTCATTAATGTCTTCATGTCCACATCTTGAGAAGGTTGAGAGGATCCTTGTTGATTTTGATTGTTTCCATGTCCTTGATTTCCTCTCCATTGTTGATTCAATTGATTTCCACCTCTACTTGCTTGATTTCCTTGAAAACCCGGAGGTGGATTCCTTCCTTGCACACCTTGATTGTTCCAAGAAGGCCCAAATTGATTTCTTCCTTGTTGACCATAATTTCCATATCCTTGCCCTTGATTTTGAGGTCTAGAGTACCCAATCATATCCACTTGCTCCATGTTTGGTAAAGAGCTTTGGCCACTAGGGTCCAACAATAGACAAGCTTGAGAAGCATGAGCTGCACCACATATAGCACAACAAGCTACCATTGCCATGCTTTGAGAACCGGGAGGATTACAAGTAGCTTGTGGCAAGGAATACGGAGTAGACATGTAAGATACTTGAGGAGTTTGAGTCACCGGTTGCACATTTTGCTTCGGAGCTTACATCATATTCTTGAGCATGTGTTGAATTGAATCCAATTGAGCTTGCATGGCCATCTTTTCTTCAACCTCAAACATCTCGGCGGTCTTTTCTTTCTTGGGTGGGTCACTTCTTTCATTATACCAATATGCCGTGTTAGAAGTAATCCTCTCAATCAATTGTTCACCATACTCCGGACCCATATCAATAAAAATGCCTCCAAATGAAGATGTGTCAAGAATGGTTTTTGAGCTATCCAACAATCCTTCATAAAAGGATGAGATGAAATCCCCCGGAGTAAGCAAATTCTTTGGACATTGTCTTCTCAACTCCTTAAATCTTTTCCAAGCTTCATACAAATTCTCATTTCCAAATTGTTGGAAATTTTGAATTTGTTTCTTCAATTTGGCGGCCTTGGACGGAGGGCAATACTCTTGCATGAAGGCCTTGTAAAGTTGTTCCCAAGTTGTAAAGTGGTTGGCCGGAAAGGAATTGAGCCAACTCAATGCTTGGTCTCTCAATGAAAAAGGGAATAGCCTCAACTTGATTGCATCACTAAGAATCCCATTCATCTTGATTGTTTGGCAAATCCGATCAAAGTGAACAACATGAGCCTTGGGATCCTCAACCCTTGATCCTCCAAATTGATTGGCTTGAACCATTTGGATAAGAGAAGTCTTGAGTTCAAAATTATTGGCATCCACCCCCGGGTAAACTATGCAATCCTCTTCTTCAAACTCCGGAGCTAGATGGGCCGCCATGGGTTGCCTTTGTGGAACACCTTGATAGAAAATAGGAGGAACTCCTTGTGGGAAGTTTTGAGGCATGTTGAACATAGGATTGGCAAAGTTAGGGTGTATTTGGTGAAGAAGATTTTGCATACCAACCCCTTGACCTTGTTGTTGTTGAGGTTGCCCATACCCTTGAGGAATGCCCCCTTGATTCATGTTAGGATAAAATGGGTATTGAGCTTGTGGAAACCCCATTCCTCCTCCAACATAAGGATTGACATTAGGATTTGCCATGAAGTCTTGTGCCGGTATTTGAACGGGAGCAATTGGCACTTGAGAGACATTAGCATGAGCTTCATTGAATTCCCCTTGTCTCGGGCTATGTTGGGTGCTTGTATCATTGGGTGAGATTTGACCGGGATTGCTAGTGTCACCCGTCTCCATGTTTATCTCCAATGATTCAAACTCCTTCAACCAACCGAGCAAGTCTCTTCTTTGTCTCCTTAGCTCCCTAGAGAGTTCTTGGTTGAAAGGGTGAAGGTCTTGGCTCCCTTTAGACCTAGTTTGCATGCACCAAGAGGAGTACCTACAACCAAACTCAAGCAAAGACAACTTTGGAAGCACTTAGTCACAATTCAAAACAAATTAACAAAAGAAAATAAAAGAAAATAAAAACTTGATCTCCTTCGAGTTCACTAACTCTAATGCTAGAAAGAAAAAGCAATCACACAATACAACCAAATAAACCAATCCCCGGCAACGGCGCCAAAAAGTTGATGTACGGGAAAGAGGTGGTGAGTATACGGGTGTAAATTGTCGTTCCGCAAGGGATTGGGACTATGGCACGTACTTGAGTGACAACTAAAGTTCTAGGCACCAAAGTATTGGAACCCACAAGAATCCAAGCAAATTCAAATTCATGGTTGGGTAATGTCAACAATTAAAGGCTAAAAATATAGTTAAGACAATGCAATTTAAACACAAGTAATCACAATGATAAAAGATGGGCTCAAATTAGGGGATGTTGCCTTCTAGATGCTTTAACAACTTAGGGATTAGGGGAGAACATCAACCAAGGGAACATAAGGGCAAAGCACATAAAAATCCTAGCTTAAAGCCATTTTCATAAGCTAAAGAACAAGGATTAGAGGAAGGATTGCCCCACTTTCATGGTGTATCAATTCCTAGCTCTTAAAGCACATAAGCATTTAGGCCCCCAATTCTTTCCTATTTTCATAAAAAGAAAATGGGTTTAGAGAAAGGAGAAGCTTAAATTCTTCCCCCAACTTTCATTGTGGAGAAAAACCATCCAAAAGCAAACTAATAAGAGTTACGTACCAAATATTACCAAGATTAAACATAAAACCAACTCAAACAAATGAACCATAGGTTAGGGTTCTTCCCCCTTATGCAATAATCACCTATTTAGCATCTAGGTTGGCAATATCACCCTAATCCAAGCCCAAAAACGAACTACTCACACTTCATAAGCATAAATAACAACAAAGCACAAGAAAATATCATAAACATTGCACAAAAGCTTAAGAAGAAGAGTAAGAAGCTTCTCTATTGAAGATGAAGATTTTGTGGTTGAATCTCACTCCAATCCATGATTACAAGCTTTGTAGAAGAGTTAGAGATGAAATACTAGACTAATCTAAGCTAAGGAAATGAAAAAAAAAACGAGTTCTTGCTATCTAGGGTTCTAACATGACTCTATTCTCCAAAAAATGAGTTATAACGCAGTCAAAAGAAACAGAGATGGGCTGCTCGACGCGTCGAGAAATTACAGAATGTAAATCGCGACATTCTGCCAAGATTCGACGCGTCGAGAGTAATTCTCGACCCGTCGAGTGCTGATCTGCAACAGAACTTCGACTTGCAGGCTAACTTTGACCCTTTTGTCTTCAGAATTAGGCTTCGATGTCTTCATGAAAGTTGTAGATCTTCGAGTCTTCTTTCAAATGGCGCAAGAATCACTTAATTTGGACAATCCTAGGCCGAGATATGATCAAATTACCAAACAGTGGTCAGTTTCGGGTGAAATCTGTAAGTTCGGAACTTCAACTTCAAGGATGATTTTGACCACTGTGGCTTCCTTTTTAGGCTTTGATGTCTGAATATGAGTTGTAGCCCTTTGAGTCTTCTTTGAAATGGGACAAGAATCATGTAATTTGGATGTTTTTAGCTTGAGATATGGTCCAAAAACCATGACATCGACGTGCAGGTCGGGAATTGCAATTGCATGGTCGCTTGCTTCTCTTTTGCTTTGGTTTGCCCACATGACCAAGACCATTGAAAGAACCACCCTAGACTCCTTTGGAAGTGTTGCATCCATCTCCATAGCTTCATATTTGGCTCTCATTGACTCCAAATTCATCCAAAATACCTCAAAAGTACACAATTGTCTGCACTCTACAATTTATGCATCAAAAGATATAAACAAAGGAATTAAGGCACTTCTTTGCATAAAATCAAAGTGTTTGTCACTCAAAAAATGTCTACACAAGGGGTAAAAATATGGACATAAATGCACTTATCATTGATCAATATTAATTTCCATACACCAAGAAGGTAGTGTTGTCATATTCATTCCATGTTCGCAATAGTAGAAAAACCATTCAGATATTCTTTATAAAAAGCTATCACACAACCAACAACACGAGAGTCTAAATAACATGATAATCCAAAAGATACGATAACCCAAATAATATGGTAACCTGGATAATCTAATAATCCGAAGATTTTCAACCAAAAAGATAATCCGATATCCAATAATATCCACTAAAGCCAATAAAAGAAACCATATAAAGAGAATCCAATAACTAATACCAGATAACGTTTGCTTGACGATGAAATAGAGAGAATAGCTCCATAATAATTCCTTTTTGCTTTTTACGAAATCTTTTGCCACATGAACCTACACAAGTGAAAATAGAAAAGAGAAACACAGAACAAGGTACATGCAATCTTGAAAACGACTTAGCAAATAACAAAGAAGCACAAAAATTCAAGAAATTTTCAATTTTGGTCAAACAAGATAGGAAGATGATTTAGGCACAGAATCACAACAGATAGCATGAAAAACACACAACCAAACAAAAACACACACGGGCATGACCGGACCAAACAAATAACACAGAGAAATAAACACATTAATCAAATTGCACCAAATTTATCATTCAAGCAAACATATTTTAACACAGGAAACGCCAACAAAAAGGCATAATCAAACAATTATCATATCAAAAACAGCCAACACAACGTAGATTGGACATTTAGTGAACACATAGAAACAACCAATAACAAAACATAAAGAATAACCCAAGCAAATTAAACGAACACTTTTTTTTTTAAAAAAAAATGAACAAGTAAAGAGAAAGAATCTGAAAGATTAAAAGTACCTCATGATTTAATGAATCTAGAGATACACGTATATATATAAACTAGAATGGATAATTCATGTTCAAAAAGATATACGCACAATAATATCAAAACAAACATCATCTTTAGGGAATTCAAGATAAAGAGAAGGTGGATAGATAAGAAACTAATAAGACCTGAACACTTGGCTTTTAAAACGTGAATTCAAGATAACTTTTATGACTGCTTAGCCTTAAGACTTAATCTGCACACGAGAGGAAAAAAATATTAGTAACACTAAGTAATATTTATTTGTGAATTAGTGTACCTGAAATTTTATTAACACGGGCAAAAAGAAATTTAATTAGCTGGATTGCTGACGCCCTAATTTTTGATGCCACAACTCAGACTCATTTATACTGGACCTGCAACAGAGGATATCGTTTGTTAGAATACAGCAGCTGTCTGTTGATCGCTTACCTTCCAAAACACATTGCTTTTCATTATCCATAACGTTGCAGTTGTCTTTGGTGAAGCTAACATTCCAGTTTTGGTCGCAAAGTTGGCTAATGCTTATGAGGTTGGCATGGAGTCCATTTACTAGTAGCACCTTTTTCAACTTGGGTAGACCTGCAACATTTAGAGTACCTACTCCGATTACTTGTCCTTTGACTCCATCACCAAAGGTTGCTTCACCGTTGCTTGTGTTTATGTCACATAGAAATTTTGTATTTCCGGTCATGTGACGTGAGCAACCGCTGTCGAAGTACTATTTTTCATCCCTACCTGCATTTTTAGTGCGAAAGGATACAAGACTGATATAGTCGGATTTCTTTACCCATACTTGTTTGATAAACGAAGTAATGTACTTATGG